CATGGAAAAATGAGCTTTTGAAGCAGAGCAGAAAAATATGTCATCTGTTTCAGCCCTCCAGAAATGAACGCCTGGCTCTTCTGGTGACAGAGCAATGGGACATTTTGGACAACCCCTTAAGTCTTAAATTGAGAGACTTGAAGGAGTTGAGAATGTTTAGCCTTGGAAAAGAAGACTGAAAGAAGACACCAAAGCATTCTTGAAAGGATGTTACCTAGAAGATGATTAAAATCTATTCTGTATTGTTTCAGAGTATAACTCACTTTGTACATGATTTAAAAGCTGACAAGAAGGCAAATTAGTTTTAAAACACAGGAAGACAAATTTCATTTGCTGGAAAAAGAACACACCTCAGTAATAAAAGCTGTGAAAAAATAATGAGTTCTTCTTCACTGAATGTATTCAAGGCTAGACAGATATTTAGTCAGGGATACTTTAATGTGATTCCTTTACTGAGATGGGGATTAGACCAGATGGCCTGAATGACCACTTCCAACTTATAAGTTTAAGAAAATAGTGTATGTTCCATTAATTATACTGAAAATCTTGCAAGTGTCAATAAAATCAGAGCATACATGTTAGCTTTCCCATTTAAGTTCTACTTTTTATTCTGTAACTAAGAACCTTGTAGGGCCTCTTTCCACTGTTTATCCAGTATGATAAATCTCTGCTGAGCAAAAAATTGTTAAATGCCCTCTTTTATATAATTAAAACTGTAAAGGGCATTGGATTTGCTACATGACATTTATTGTTGGATTGAATGCCGCATTCTGTTGAGATGAATTGGGTATCTGTAATTGCTTATCAGTTACTGCTTTTGGCGGATCACTTGGTCCCTGCTTGTGGCTGACTTTACATGGTCAAAATATGATTTGTTATCCACTATGATAAGATTTCTAATTTTCATGAAGGTTAATAAAACTCAAGTATATGATGGGAAATAGCTTTTTTTTTCAAATAGCTGAATTAAAAACTAATCATATACTAAAACTGACAAGTAAGTTTTTAGAAATAAGGCAGAACTTAACTGCACCACAAACAGCCTTTGTCCTACCTACAGAATAGGGGAACATATAGTTTCTTGAGGGAAAGAGGTTTAGAGAACAAAAGGTCTCTTGAGGTAATAAGAGTACAATTAGAAGCATGAATAGTTTCTACAAAGTAATATGATTGCACATTCACTTAATTTGGAGTAGATAATCTTGGCCTTAGAGTCCTGTCTGAGGTTGTCAGGGCTCCAGCAATCAGCTGCTGAAAAGTAGGCATAGATTCTCTTCATTTGGAAATGAGAAACAAATGAAAACCTTAGTATAAGCCACATAATAGGCCAATATACTCTTAAGTCAGTACTGATTCCTAGTGCCTTCACCCATTGTAATTTTTTGGTCAGCATTATGGAAGTGGGCTGTCATTATCTTCTCTTGAAACCTTTTAGAATTCCCAGGTTCACAAACCATTCCTAAATCCATGTTACATTTTCCCATCCATTTGACAACCAAAAATATTACTTGAAGTCTTCCCCTTCAAAGGTTTCCAGTATAAAGGTAGTTTGTCATTACCATTTATTTACATTTAAACCTGACCATAGTGTAAAGGAATGTAGACTTGACCTTGGGGAAATATGAGAAAGCCATAAAAAGTGGGGGGGGGGNTTGCTGGCTATTTATGGATAAGAATGGAGACATAAACTTGTTATTGCCACAAGACAAATCCTAACACGAAAACCACATTGTGACCTGCTCAATCCAAGCCGCAATTAAGTTTTCAATTGGGCCATGAAACAGTGCTTCAGGAACGATGCCAAGTTCCCTCTGGAATTCTGATGGGCTCATCATTCACCCCAAGAACCCTATTCTTAACATATCTCCCTATGCTCTGGTGTTCCTGCTGCTCTCTTTCCTGCTGGTCTTAGCAATGTCCAATCACTTGCTTTCCTTTCTTCCTATGCCAAAGGGACCAATTACAATTTCACTAAGAAGAGGTTAGCATTTAGCAGCTCTGATATAAGGAGCCTACTCACCTCCCACTGTCCCCTGGGTACCCCACTCTCACCTGAATAGCCAAAAGAAAACAAGCTCCACTTTCAATATGCCAGGTAAGCCCGATTCATCTCACCCTCAGTTTCTCACTCAAGAATGAAAACAATTACTGCTCCCCCTAGCTCCCCTTCCCAAACATCAAAAGCTTAAAGTCTTAACTTGAAGTCATTAATCCAGTCCTCAGCTCTCAGTCCTCTGAAGGCACTGATGTAACTCAATTGGGTCTGTCACAAGTTGCAACAAACAGGCTTTCTTAGGTCTGAAATCCAGACATTGTAGCAGAGGTGACAGCCAAAAATAGCTCCTGTGCCACACCACTGGTTAAGTAGCATTTCTTAGGACACATGTTATTTCTTTTGAAGAGCCACCAACTTGGTCCCGCTGACTCTCGATACTTGGGAGTCCAAGCACTCTATCACATCAAAGTTGTTATCTAAAGGTCACCATCACCAATATTATCCAATTACACCACCAGGCAGATTCCTGCCATCTTGTTGCTGTAATCAGTATAATATAGAGAGCATACTTAATTTGTAGCTAGTTTGCCAAACATGGCATCTCTGCCCTGAAACTCTCCCTATGAGCCGACTGACCTGCAAACAACAGATCTGTTGAAACTAGTGCACCACTGAGACTCCAGACAGGCTTTCTATGGTGGAATATATATCTCAGTTTGGAATCATGCT